GTGTCCTTGGATAAATATGGAGACTTCAAGCAAACCTACAAAATGAATTTGAGTAATCTTCTTTTGGTATCCACACTTTCTTGGGTCCATGGTAGTTAGGAAGAGGCATATATGTCCCTTTAATGACCCAAATTTCTTTTGTCTACATGGCCTAATAGGACAATGATTGATCTTGTGTCCTAGCTTTTTACAATAATTGCATTTTGGACTTGAAGAGGAATTTTTAACAAAATAATTGTTCAAAGATTTTCTCTTTTTCAATAAACAAGATTCTTTACTGTGAGGATCATATCTATGCCCATCCTTAGCATAAACATTTCTTTGCTTTCTAAGTATGAGGCCTAAATTCTCTCTACCTTTTGTGAATTTGGCTAAAGTCTTAAGTTGATCTTCAATAATGACTTTTAATGATTTAAATCAATTGAGGCCAATTCTTTAGCTAATTCTTTTTCTTTTTTCAAAGTTTCATTTTCAAGTTGATATTTTTCAAGATTTTGAGAAATGATAAGCTTTTCTCTTCTAAGGCTAGGACACTTTTGAACTATTTTGCCTAATTCATCATGTAATTCTTTAAAGGCATCTAACAAATAGTTATGTGCATCAACCAATTCATTATAAGAGATTTCTAAATCAAATGAGTCATGATTAGAATTTACCTCATCTTCATCGGCCATGAGACAAAGATTGACCAATTCATTGAGTTCATCGTCACTTTGGGATCTATTTGAATCATCATCCTCCTATGTAGCTCGCATGGCTTTGCCTTTCTTTTTCCTTTCCTTTTCATTTTTGTAGGCATAGCAATCGGATTTGAAATAACCCGGTTTTCCACAATGAAAACATGTAGGTGCTTCTCTTTTTCCTTGCTCACTTGAGGACCATTTCTTTTGAAGTTGTTACTCTTTTGGTACTTCTTCATTTGAAGGACTCTTCTCACGGTTTTGGTAATGAGAACAATTTCGTCTTCTTCTTCATCATTAGGAGCTTTATCAATTGTGACTTCTTTGGTAGTAGCTTGAAAAGCTATATCCTTCTTTTGAGTGTCTTTGTCTTCATCTCTATCATTCATTTCAAGCTTATAGGCCATTAATGAACCAATGAGTTCATCTATGGGGAGTGTATTGAGATCTTTGGCCTCTTGGATGACAGTCTTCTTGGCTTCCCAATTTTTAGGCAAAGACCTAAGAATTTTTCTCACATTGTCGGACGATGTATATGATCTTCTAAGAGCCTTCAAAGGATTCACAATGTTAGTAAAACAAGAGTACATTTCACTAATAGTTTCTTTGTTGTTCATGGTGAAAAACTCATATTTATGGACAAGCATATTCATTTTGGATTCCTTAACATGACTAGCACCTACATAGGTAACTTCAAGTTTATCCCAAATTTCTTTGGCCAGTTCGTAATCCAAAATTCTATTGAATTCGTCTTTGCTTAAGGCACAATATAAATTAATGATAGTCTTGACATTGCATTGTACAAGCCTACGGTCATTGAGGGTTCATTCAATATCGGTTGTTGGAACATTTTCACCACTTACTATTTTGGTTGGAACATGGTTTCCTTATTCGATGGCTTTCCAAACATCTATATCTACACCTCTTAGGAATGTTCTCATTTTGATTTTCCAATAGTTGTAATCATTTCCGTCAAACCACGGAGGTCTATTATTAGATTGACCTTCTTGATGAAAATTTGTATTGGCCATGGTCGTTCTCTAAGATGGTTAAATCTTTTTCTAGAAATTAGGCTCTGATACCAATTGTTAGCCACTAATTGACTCTAGAGGGGGGTGAATTAAGTCAATGCCCGATTTTTGCAATTTATAAAAAGTAATTTTCAACTAACTATCATGCAATAATCAATTGAGATATTCAAGCAATATATATATTACAAGTGACAAGTATATAAAAGAGATAGAGATAAGAAGTTGCAAACAATGACTCGACGATTTAGCGAGGTTCGGAAACTTCTACTCTTGAGACTTCCCAATTTCACTAGAGCGTCTCCTTAATGGTGGAGAGCAAACCTTCAATTTGAAGCAATACCTTGCTTCTCTTCTTTGCTAGGAGAACACCCTCCTCCTAGGCTTTCTTTTAGGTCAAACCAACCCTTTACAATTACTTGTAATAGAAATGAAGTGTACAATAAATCTCTTAAAGACAGTAGTACAAAGTTTTGCTCACAACTATAGTAAAGATGAATATATATCTGAAGCTCAGAATCACTACAGTGGAATGAAATGTGAGAGAGGAAATGAAAGCTCGATGAATGCTTCTTTTTAAATGATTTTCAAGGATTGTAGAATGCTCTCTTTAATGGTGTATTTACTTCTGCAGACCAACCATCTATATATAGAGAAATATTACGCTCAATATAGCTGTTAGAGGTGGTTGGGAAACAATAAATGAAAAAGTTGCTATTGCAGTTCAAAACCCCAGAAGGAGCCGGCTCTTGTAAACAAGAGGAGGCGGCTCCCTAGCCTTGAGAGCCGGTTCTCCATTGCATGGAGCCGGCTCCTAGCCTCTGAGAGCTTGCTCCCTATTTTGGGAGCCTGTTCTTTGGTTGGAAGAATTAAATTTTCGTTAAAAAAACTTACTGGAATGTTGAGAGCATGCTTTGTCTTTCATGGAGCCTGCTCCATTACTGTATGAGACTTAAAATGAATTTATTTAAGTCCTCTCTACACTTCATATGATGTGTGGCTCATGTGTGAATGTGTTCATAAACTTTATGAGCTAATTTTATGTTCTTTGAAAAATGAAATGAGAATGTCTATGCATGAACTATAATTTTGAGTTTCAAAATATATTCAAATGAACTTTGACATTGAAACTTAAGCTCTCACCATCCTATATACCCTTTTCTTCATTCTTTGACCATAATCATTTTGGTTTGATGAAGACTTACTTTCTTTCTTTGAAATGCTTTGTGTGATCTTTGAAGTCCGAGTTTTTCTTTGATTTCTTGCAACTTTGAGGCTTCCTTGAATCCATTGCTTGCGTGCTTGGAATGCTTGGAATGGATCTTCTAGCTCATCATTGAGGATTGAATATTGATCATCTATACATCACTCAATGAAAATATTAGATCTTAAATATCATTAATGGTTTATAATCATCAAAACATAAGATTGACTTTTAGATAAATTTCTTAGGCCAACAACATATAATTGTTATTTATTTATCAAAATTTACGCATTCGCAATAAATTAATTAAAACAATTACTGAAACACGTGGCTGCAAATTTAACTTAAAAAATATCACAAATTAAACCTCTTTTTCATTAGAACCCTTTTTTTCCCCCTTATATTTGTAATTCGTACTTGTATTGTATGTAATCTTTTTAAAAAATTAGGATCCCCCGGCGTCTTCTTTGAAACCAAAGGAAAATCTGGTTGCCGAGAAATTCATGCCACCATTTGATACAATCATCATCGGTGCTGCATGTGGAGGTATAGAACAAGATCCAGTGACCACGCACGACGGCGATTTGAAGGCTGAGAATTCAACACCGGAAACCATTGATGGAGGAGGAGGTTGATTCAACAACTTGTGATTAAGGAGAAGATTGATTATTTCTCTTATGCTATTTGAAATCCAAAACCACCACTAAAAAAACGACCACAACCTTATCTCTTGTCCCTGCAATTTTTCTTTAAAATTAAATTTTAAATAATTATCTTCATCAATCAAGAAAAATATCAGATCACCATATGCAATTTTCTGTTATAACTTCATATATCATATATATGAATATTATATCTTTTATATAATGGATTAGATTGCCGCTAGTGGTCAGCGAGGGTGGTAAGGTGGGCGTTTATGGTTGAGATGCCTAATGCAAAAGAGATTAATAGTGGTAAAGATGGGAAATGAGAGAGAAAAACTAATTTACTCTTTGCGGGAAGATAAAATAGGAGAGAGAAAAACGGAAGAGAGAATTTAGAGTACTATTTTGACTTTTGTAGATATCCATCTAAGTAGACACATAGATTAGGTCAGATAAATCAGTGTATTACTTCGATGTAAGTATCACTTTCCTTGTAAGGTTGATTTAAATTTTGTAGGGTTTAACTTTAGTTTATATTTGAATCCAATTTCTAGTCATTATTAACTCAAAATGACTTATACACCATCAAATATTAACTATCAGGAGTCATAATGTGAATAAGAATTTGGTATCTGTTTACGACGTGTAATTAAATAAAAAAAGAGATCTTACGACGTGTAATTAAATAAAAAAAGAGATCTTACCCTCTTTTCTATTTGTAATAAACCGGGCATAATGTGAATAAGAATTCTTGTGGTATCTGTTTAAGTAACTTACACATCCCATCTCGGAAGTTATAGTGGGAAATGATATTATTATTCCATTTATTACACTTTGCACTCCGTATGTATATTTTTCAAATAAAATGACATAATTGTCTTTCAAAAGTAATTGCACACTCAAGAATAGTTACAAAGCTAGCCTTTTAAGGGGATAATTTTGTTTTTAAAAAATAGTAAGTGTTTGACAATATCTATCTTTATCTTTTGTATGAAGACTATTTTTCTTGAATAATTTGGTGATGTTCGGTGCTCACTAGTGTGAGGACCTGCAATTCAACACCTGCAAATAACGAATATTGCTTAAATCCAGACTTGAAGTCGAGATCTCAAGGTCAAATCTCCTTATCGAAGTGTTATCAGTAGATAACCTATGAACTTATGAAAATGATTATATGAAAGAATCAGATTTTAGATTTGAAAATAGAATTCTATTTTCCAATGTCTGTAACACATGCTCAAGGATCAAGATCCTCTCTAATGGACTTTAGAGAGGACACCTCACCAACGCAGAAATGCTACAAATGTGTAATCACTGGAATGTCCAGCACCATAGTCGATAACCAATACGAGGCGTCTCAGCAATGTAAAGAAGTTGAACCATAATTGACAAACTTGACAGACCACATTCATCTCTCATAGGGATAACCTTTGCAGAAAAGAAATGAACAGAACTGCCATTTTTCATTACAGGAACAAAACTGGAAAACATTATATATGTTTGATATGATGATACTTCCAGTACATGGTAGAAAGCAATAAAAAACAAATCTACCAAAAAAGATAGAGAAAAGAAAAGAAGGAACTTCAAATTTACAAGCCCTAAATTGTGAGAGTTTTGTCTATGAACTTCTTGATATGAGACACCGCATGTAGGTCCCAGCCTATCTGCTTACCTTACAAGATATAACTTTGACAAAAATTTTGCATTCCACTCCGTCTCTCAACTCAGCAGATCATCTTCATGTTCACAAGCATTATTCTCACTCGTATCTGAACCTCGGCCACAAACTGCATGTCGCAGCATCATAAAATTGTAAATTTTAATTTCCTTCTTGAGTCGTATTAAAATTGTATCTCTTATATCTAATAAAACGAAAATCTTGATAATATGTACATGCTTAGCAATACGATGTTGGAAACCTAGCAACATATTTTTAAACAGGTGAACTATGATGAACATGCAGCTAAATTGAATTTGTCCAACCATTGACAGAAATGCTTGAGGACATGGTGACTTGCACATGGACACATCATTAACTATAAAAATCATGATTTTTTCTTTTTCTTAGAAGAGCTGAATACAAACAGTTCTACTATTTCAAACCAAAAAAAGAAAAAAGAACAAACAACTAAAAAGGAAAAGAAAAATGGAACATGAAAGCATTGAGATTCACAGGTACTGATGTACTGTAGTATAATGCGCCAGCTTTAACCTTCTAAGTTCTAAACTGACCATTTAGTGCTGCTGAATGTTCGTTTGGAACAATAAAAATGTAGAATGTCTGAGCAAGTCATGCCTAGGAAACAGTGATGATGTTAATGAAAAGGATGTTGAAAGCTACGTGTCTTATGGCGGCAAACACATTTCATTGGTAGTACAGCCCTTGACAGATGAGGGAGCTCAAGGGTGATTCAGCAGCCCCCACTTAAGAGTACTCGCATGAGAGATGGGAAAAGGTAAAGGCACTTGAAATGCACATAAAACATCCAATATTATTTCTAGGTAGAAAAATATGGGGTTATCCAAATAATGCAATAGAATTATATAGATCAAATGATGATAATGCATGCACATTGGAATGATTGTAGCCTGAGAAAGCTTTTAAACTGCATATACATCATATACACAAGCTGTTATTTGTATATTGATTTTCTTTTTTTCCTTCTAGTTCATTTTAACCTGAAGGGTTTCTAGCATTATCAAGCTGTGAGTTGCTACGTGTGGGAAAAGATGATGTTAACCAAATAATGCAATAAATCAAATGGTAATTATGCAGGCCCATTTGATGGATTCTTCATTCTTAGCCTGAAAGAGCTTTAGGCTATGGGTATGTATCACATTCACAGGCTATTATTTATTTATTTATTTATTTATTTTTATCTCCTATTTTTTTCCAACACTGTAGTTCAACATTGCCTGAATGACCACACAACGTGGAGGACGCTCCTGTAAACTCACAGATCACATACAGTTCATGCTTCCCACAGCAGCCAAGTGCATAAGAAATCATGTGACCATGTCTCTGACTCCAATCACCATAGCATCCTTATAAATAGATGTTATGTTACAAATTTTTTTTTTTTTTTGATAAGTAAATAGATGTCATGTTACATATAAAGGACATACACAGGTTGAAAGAGGCCTCAACTTCAGAGTTAAAATCATGATTTGATATAAGCTAACATTTGAACTGTTAAGAAAATATAATCCATTTATAGTAACAAAGGTTTCCTATTAAACAAACAAAAGAAATGCACTAAACACTTTGATATATGTACTTGTATAAAGAATATTAATGCTGATTTAACAATACATATTCATAGATAAGCATTTTTACAACTTTCCAAGATCCACAGAAGTAGAAAATACAAGAACAAGAAGCCTTAAAGGTTTCCAATATTTGCCAAGAGGAGCAGAGAAGACCGTTCATCCGACCAGGTTGTTGATCCTCTGAACGTTTGTAGTGTTATGGACAACTAAATTAAGACAAAATGGGTTAAAAGGGCAACGAAATTAATTTTAAAAACCTGAGACTTCTGAAACACCGATTGTTATATTCCAATACTCTTTTCATCTTTGCCAAGTAAAAACTATGAGTTTCAGGACGACTAATATAATAGCCTTTCAAAATACAGGTTCCCATGTCCACATCTTTTCCTTTCAAACAATCCTATGTCCACATTTTAAGATCCAAAATTCCGAAGTTCATAAAAGGAGAAAAAAATCTCAAGTGAATATTGCGATCATCAAACGTCTTAATATTAATTTTTTTCTAGAAGGAAAATATGCAATGAAATATATATATAATAGAAAAATATTGCAGATTATATTGGAAATAAAAAAAAATTGTGATAGAGATGCATTGTATTTTTAGTTTTATTTTTCCCTGGCAGAGTAAAGCATACAATTAATTTGTAATCCCTCAGTATCATGAACTTTGATATTCTAGGTCACAATTATGCACAGAGATGTGTAGGTTATCTGCTCTCACCACTATCAAGAAGAGAGAGAGAGAGAGAGAGAAATATAGTTGCCATCTGCTCCAATTAAATTAGGCTACGCCTCCTAGGCAATCCTATTGGGTTTTTGGGAACCTGCCCAGGAAATTGAACAATGTCCACTCACATGAATCCAGTGCTCTCTTAATATCTTTTTTGGTAAGTAAGAATGAATTGAATTGATGAAAGAAAATTTATACAAGAGCTCAGAAGGGACAACCCAGGACACGGAACAAGCTGAGCAGCAACAAACATATAGCACAAGCAACCACGCAAGATCAATACAAGCAACAAAAACCAACTAACTGGCAACAATGACTGCAGAACTGCAACAGATGTGCCAGTCACAAAGAAAAGCAGAAAACACTGGGCCAAAGCAAGCCCTCTAAGAGAACCATAAGAGAACAAAACAAGGCCAAGGAGGAAGAATAGAGCAGAGCTTAGAAGGTGGAGAGGGAGAAAAAAAAGAAAGGAGCAGATAAAAAGTAAGGATCACAACAGAAGCAGCAACAGCAAGCAAATAAGGAGCTAAGGATGCACATATTTCATAAAATACATGAGTAAACATATTGCCTTAAACAATGTGTGCGTCTCTAACAACTTATAAGACCCTTCACAAGACTACAGTAAGAGAAACATATTCATGAAGAAGTCCAGAAATAAATCATTGCCACCTAAAATTTTGAAAAAATTCACCGCAACAAAGAATAAATACTTTCACTTATTCCCTCACAACCAAAACTTATTGGACCCACCACTGTACAATTCCTAGTATTTTATGACAAGGATTTTATTTGATTATTTCATATCACATGGCAGAAGCTGAACCAACGAGACAAAGATAAAAGTAAAGCAGAAAAAGTAATTATACCAACATAGTCACTCTACGATACTGTTTCATTTTGGGAATATACCATCTCACATCTCTCTATCTAATAACTGCTTCATTGCAATGTTTCTAGATCCCCTTTGTAAAAATTTGGTCCCCATTTAAAGGTTTGAACAAATACTCCATTTTTTCAAATTTCCATCTCTCTCTCTCTCTCTCTCTCACACACACACACACACACACACCCCCACCCACAGCCTCTCTCAGCAATCCAATAATGCTGACAATAGCTGAAGCTGTTATTAGTAGTGAGATGCTGAGGCACATTGCTCTGTTCCACACACAACTTAATACCTGATTAACATTTTTTATTCTTTCCAATTTTGAGAATAAAAAAAAAAAAAAAAAAAGAAGACAGTGAATGAATGAATTTAAAATGGCTACTTTGAATCACTAGCATTGTGCCTTATTGTAAGTTTAAGGAACACGACCTGCATTGTAAACACCCAATGGATAAATCCATATAGTGTGAAATATTGCAAAAAGAATATTAAAAATAAAAAGTTAAATTCTGCAATGAACACTATTTTAATAGCACATGCAATGCACAATGCCACAGGCCTCAAGTTTCTCACTTTCCAGAGTCATGATTTTAATAACATTAGCATGGGGAGATTGCAGTTTCTCAACAGCAAAGAAATTGTATTTTTACAGTTTTTTAATAGCAAATAAATGTATTTTCTTTTTTCTTTTCCCTTTCTGTTGGCGTATTTGGCAATTGCTTTTCCATTTGGAAAAGAAGAAATACTTCATAATTTTAATCAGCATAGTGCATAAACAACACCAAGTCTGAACAACTGCAGAAGAGTTTGCACTACTTGTAGAAATATATACATGCTTATCTATGCAAATCAGGGGATCAAAATTTCCGTAATGAGAATCTTTCTTAGTCCAAGATGTATAGCTAAAACATCAATAAGAACACCTTAACTAGCATCGTTATATTTATATACATATAAAACTTCTCATCAGAACATTACCTCATTTCCGTTCCACAATGCTAATAAATTGAAAAGTAAGTCAACAAAGTTTAGCATGTTTCATGTAAAGAAGACATTACCTCAATACTATGATCTAAGTCAAATATCTTGTATCCACTTCCACTACCAGGAGTCATAGCAATCTTCAAAACAATCAATCAATTAATGTAAATTTCAATTAGATTACCTTAATGACCGAATAAGCAATTTCTTTCTTTCTCATCTATTGAAATCTTATGACAGAAAATCAAAAAGCTCAATTCTGCACTCCAAACCGTTAGACACGAGCACAGGTACCCCAAACCCTAAACCTAAACCTAAACCTAAACCTAAACCTAAACCAAATAAACATAAATATAGGATCAAAATTAAAAAGACCTACTGGATTGACGAATTTTAACATCCAAAAAATATTTATATAGCATGGAAAGATTCAAAATTTTTCGTACCCGAAGCAAAGAAATGTTGCAGAAACCTCCATATTCGCTCATTCGCATATCTATCATCAGCCGTATCTACAAGTAACCCTCTCTCTATAATATGGATCCTAAACCAAATAAACATAAATATAGGATCAAATTAAAAAGACCGACTGGATTGACGAATTTTAACATCCAAAAAATATATATAATAACATGGAAAGATTCGAAATTTTTCGTACCTGAAGCAATAAAATGTTGCAGAAACCTCTATATTCGCTCATTCGCATATCTATCATCAGCCGTATCTACAAGTAACTCTCTCTCTCTATATATAATATGGATGTGATATATATATATATATATATATATAGGTATGATCTCTGTATATATCGCCGGTTCAAGCGAGGAAGAGCCGGTCACCAGAATAGCTCCTCTCTCTCTCTCTCTAGATAGGCAGAAATTTCCTTTTATAGAGGTAACCCCGTGGAGCAAGACGAACTAGAGTGAATCGCCGGTTCAAGAAAGCGAAATCGGCGGTCACCGGCCGGTCTAGTGTCAACTGTCTCCGGCTCTCAAGCGAGGCAACCGAAACTTCCGGTTCACCTCTCCCCAAAACCGGTCCACTTGGGGAATTTGGCCGTAAATCGACCGGATCATCCGGTAAAACCCGAACTAGTTTTAGCCAAAGCACAACTCCTGACCGCTGCCCTAACCGGTCCATCCGGTTATCCATCGATTCTTTTCCACACTATATAAACCACCCAACCCCCTTAACGCTCTCTCTCTCTCTCTCAAGCATTCCAGGAGAGACATCAAAAACAAGTAAGTTCAAATCCCTCCCTTTCTCTTTGAATTGTTTATGTCCTTGGTAGTTCTTATATATAGTTTAAGCAATACATTTAGTTTGTAAATTACCAAACAAAAAAAAAAAGAAAAAAAAAAAAGAAGAACATTTAGTTTGTTACAGCATTTGAAGGGTGTTCAAAAAACTTGAGTTGTTTTTTTTCATTCAAGTGGTGCTTTTTCTAGTAATCTTTAACCTACACAACCAAAATTTGGGGTAATTAAGGTAGATAATGGGTTCTAATTTTGAACCCATACCAGTAACTTCACAAAAACATGACCCAGCGTGGAAGCATTGTCAGATTTTCAAAAATGGGGATAGGGTTCAGCTCAAGTGTATATATTGTGGGAAAATCTTTAAGGGTGGTGGGATTCATAGGATTAAAGAACATCTCGCGGGTCAAAAGGGTAATGCGTCTACTTGTCTTAGAGTTCAACCCGATGTTCGGCTTCTAATGCAAGAGAGCTTGAATGGGGTTGTGGCGAAAAAGAGGAAGAAACAGAAGATTGCAGAAGAGATATCAAATTTTAATCCGTCTGGTAATGAGATGGACACTTTTGCTAGTCAGTGTGGTTTGAATAATGAAGTCCAATTGCTTGCTGTTCCTGATACAGTTGAACCAATTTCGACTTTGTTAGAGAGCAGAGAAGATGGCAGCAAAAGTATTGGTAGAAAGAAGAAAGGGAGGGTCAGAAAAGCCTCTCAATCCACCACTCCTAACACTGTTACCGCGAATAGTATACTCCCGATAGGTTCAAAAAGGGCACATAATCAAGTACATATGGCAATAGGGCGGTTTTTATATGATGTTGGGGTACCTTTGGATGCAGTGAACTCGGTTTATTTCCAACCAATGGTTGATGCAATTGCTTCACAAGGAGCTGGAGTTGTAGCCCCTTCTTATCATGATCTTCGGAGTTGGATTTTGAAGAATTTAGTTCAAGAAGTAAGGAATGATCTTGATCAATGTATGGGTACTTGGGGAAAGAATGGTTGTTCTGTATTGGTCGATGAATGGATTTCAGAAAAGGGTAGAACATTGATAAACTTTTCAGTGTACTGTCCTGAAGGAACAATGTTTTTACGGTCTGTGGATATATCTGATACTGTAAATTCCTCCGAGGCTCTTTATGAATTGCTTAAGGAAGTGGTGGAAGAAGTTGGGGAGAGAAATGTGTTGCAAGTGATTACTAATAGTGAAGAGAGATATATTGTTGCTGGGAAGAAGTTGACTGATACATTCCCTACTGTTTTTTGGACTCCTTGTGCTGCTCATTGTGTAGATTTGATGCTCTCAGATTTCAGAGAGCTTGAGTGGATAAATACAATACTTGAACAAGCTAAATCTATATCAAGATTTATCTACAATCATAGTTTTGTTTTGAATATGATGAGAAGGTATACTTTCGGCATTGATTTAGTTGATCTGGGAGCTACTCGCTTTGCGACAGACTTCATGACACTGAAAAGAATGGTAAATGTCAAACACAATTTACACTCCATGATCACTTCAGAGGAGTGGATGGAGTGCCCGTACTCGAAGAAAGTAGGGGGATCGGCAATGTTAGATTATATTGGTAGCCAGCAATTTTGGTCCTCATGCATCTTAATCGTCCGGTTGACAGATCCACTACTGCGACTTTTGAGAATGGTTGGTAGTGAGAAGAGGCCTGCAATGGGATATGTTTATGCAGGCATATATAGAGCAAAAGAAACAATTAAGAAAGAACTTGTCAATAAGAAGGATTATTTGGTTTACTGGAATATTATGGATCACAGGTGGGAACAACTACAACGCCATCCTCTTCATGCTGCAGGTTTCTACCTCAACCCCAAGTTTTTCTATAGTGTGGAAGGAGATATACATCTCCACATCCGGTCATTGGTATATGATTGCATAGAGAAATTGGTTCCGGACCCAAAAATCCAAGACAAAATTGTGAAAGAGACAACATCGTACCATGATGTTGCTGGAGATTTTGGGCGGAAGATGGCAATTAGAGCTAGAGACACTTTACTTCCTGGTGAGGCTCATAATATCCAATTTGTTTGCTTTACTAGTTAGTAAAAAATTTGCAATTTTGAAGAATACTGGCTTTGCAGGGGAAGGCTTAAGATGCTGACTCCATGGTTTGTCCATATATATGGCAACCATGCTGAAGTTGGGGAAAGTGACCATATAGTAAATGCTATTTATTAATCTTTGTAGTCACAAACATTAAGTTTTCTAGTTATAATCATGTAGTGCACTGTTTATACAGTAGGAAAATATGAATTGTGGCGCAGGGCTGGTTTGTTCCATATAGCCTACCTTGTGTCACTTATTGCAATGGATCATGAATCACACACATTTTGCATGTTTGCAAAGTGGGGAGAGCAACATCTTGTTAACTTGTACTATTTTAAGTATATTCCTTGCTTTATGTAGTTCACAGTCAGCTGATTCTTTTAAAATTTGTTGTCTTAGCTGAGTGGTGGTCAACATATGGAGGGGGTTGCCCAAATTTGGCTCGCTTGGCCATCCGTATTCTTAGTCAAACTTGCAGTTTGATTGGAAGTCGTTCAAACAATATTCTTATTGAACAAATGCATGAGACAAAAAACTGCCTAGAGCATCAGAGGCTCAATGACCTTCTTTCCGTTCAGCACAACTTGCGATTGGGGCAAATGTGAGTAGAAGCAAATGAACCTAATAGTCAGAGAAGGTTTTTTGACAGCTGAAAGGGAAAAAAAAATCTTGTTATTAACTGATTCTTTACAGGGTTCGGAAGTACAAAGAACAAGATGCCATGGACCCCATTTCATATGACAACATTGCTATTGTTGAGGACTGGGTTTCAGAGAGGGAATTGTGCTTGGAAGAGTTTGGGAGCCCAGATTGGATGGCAGTTGATCCACCCTTAGGCAACCCAATGGTTTTGGTACCACAAACGGATGACGCTGAAGATTTAGGCGCAGGTAATCACGATTCTTCGCTATGGAAAACTTTATCAAAGATGTTTTGATTCTGAGGTTTTATTAACTCCATTTGTCAATGGCAGGGTTTGATGATTATGAAATTTTTGATGGGGTGAAAGACAGTGAAGAGGACAATGGTGAAGATAATGTTGTAAGCTAGTAGAAGGAAGCCAAGAAATGATTTTTTGTACCCAAATACTTTGATGAATAGTTGTCTCCCACTTTGTAATCAAGCAGAGAAAAGTAGAATAGTAGTGTAAGATATTTGTGTATATTTTGAGTTGATCAAAACCATAGAAAATGCTGAATCAGTTTTGCACTTTTAGTTGCTGAAAGGCTGGACTTTTTTTTTTTCTTAGCTGTGGAATAGTTGTAGTAAATTCCTTTCTTTTCTTCCCTCTTCTTAGCATTCAAGCAAGAGCAAATTTGACTGTAAATCTGGGCAGATCTAAGAGAGCAAAATGGAAACAGCCAAAAAAGGGACATTTTAACGCAAATTTTACTGTTTGACCAAATTCTACGATTTTTTGGATCAGAGTTTGGGAACTGTAACTCCTGAATATGTGTTGATGAACTTTTTTGGATATCAGATGACATGCATTTATTGGTGCAGGAACAGAGAGGTCAACTAGAGTGATGCATTTGCAGCTAGTACTTGTTAATGTCAGATAGTAGGACAAGATATTGATATTGAATTAGAAAACAATTACTTGGATTACGAAGATAACTCAAGTTTTTGATTCCTTATCTTTATTTTTAGCCTGTGTTGTGTTTCAATCCAGTTTATCAGATCTTACTCTGCTTCCTAATGTGTTTTTGATTTTCATAGAAGCTGGTTCAAGTAGGCCATGCCTTCCCAATTTGACACTCGCAGTGTTCCCAAACAACATACTAACAGAAGAAGGACCAGGAATTTCAGCCTAAGATCACCACAAAACAGCCAAATGACCAAGATTACAGTAAGTAACCATTAATTTAAATAAGTTCTGTTACATATTTCTTTACATTCAATTTTTGTTATTGAAGGTTGTAATTTTACTGAGTTACTGTATGTTGTCGAACTGTTTTGGTCTCCTCGAGTCGGTCTCTCATGCACTGATCATTTTGCATTTTTGTTCAGGTGCACCAGTTGCTATGTGAAGGCATCCCTGCTGGGTTCTTTAGTACTCATCGGAAATTTGGCAACTCAAGTTTGGCTTTCAACTCCTTAATATTCATGTCGCATCATGATTTTTCAGAACTTGTAGCAATTTAGCTTCCCTCTCATAAATTCAAATATGCATAATCTAGTATCATCTCTTGCTCAACACATTGCTATCTAACCTATGACTCATCAATTTCAAAAGCCTGGACCTTAAATTGCAGATTGACGAGTTATTGGTTCCCAATTTCAAATATATATTATATGGTATCATATGAATGGCAAACCTGGAAGATGAAAATTACCTGCTCGATCAAGCACCACACTAGAACAAACCTTGTAACAATCTAGTTGTAAGAATTAACTCAGTGTACATTATAACACAAAATCACAGGACACTAATCCATGATAACAGAGAGTAACAATCTAATTGATTTTTTTCTTTTGACATCCTTAGGAAACACTTTTCCTTCATGTTAAGCCCTAAAAAAGGCCTAAACTGTATAAAGGCAGCTTCCATCATCACTCCTAGCTGTTGGATTATAGTTTGTAGCATTTGGATCAGTGCAACCTTCAGGGACTGGAACATTCACTTGCTGGGCTGCTTTGCCTGCACACAAACAACAACAACAACACAACTCAGGAAAACTCTTTGTTCAATCCTAATTCACTTCTAAGTTGGCAAGAAGCCAGATGCAAACCCCCATTAAGGCCTCTAGGATCAAGGGAGCTAACCATAGAAAGTTCCTCTGTTGATAGAATCCTCATTAGCTTCTCCAAGTGCGGCTTCGCTCAAGTACTTGTCAGCCAATTGGACTCTCTTTACATTTTCCTGCTCTTGGACAAGCATGTTTCCATACTCGAGGAGCTTCTCGAGGGTCATCTTGGGCTGCTCGAAAGTTGGAGGTCCTTCCTTTGAGTTCACAAGCTTCTTCCCAATGCCCTCAACTCCAACGCCTGAAATCCAGTTCCTCACCTCATCATCATAAACTCTTGCCCTCAAGGCACCAAAGAAATCTGCAAAGAGTATGAAATTATATTAATGACCGATCCCTATCAATATGACAGACTCAAGGACTGAGGTCTTTTCAACATATTAGGTTCATATCCTCATAGAACTTTAGAAAAAGTCATTGGGAGAGAACTCACCAATGGATTGGCCAGGGAAAGCGTCGACAAGTGTGACAATATCTTCTTTGGCAACATTGTCAGTTCGGAAAATTCCAGTGCAGACACCAATACGATCTTCACGGGTGGGTGCCCAGTAGAACTTCTCCATACGACCATCACGGATGAGGGGAGCATATAATGTTGAGAAGTCATTACCGGTGACAATGATGGGGACACGGGGATTCTCCTCCTTGTTGTACATTCCGGGAAGCTGGACATTTGTTGGGTTATCGGCTATGTTCATGAGGGTGGCATTAACCATTTGGTTGTTGACTGTGTATTGGGTAGTGCCACCCATCCGACCAGCTCCAGCATCAAGATCATTGATGAAGAGGCAGCACATCTTTCCCTTCCTGATTATATCGGCTGCTTCACGATACCTTTGTCTGATCAGCTTTGCAGGCTCTCCTGCATTGCCGCTTTCCAACTCTCCAGCACTCATCATGATGGGGCTGAAATATCATCATCAAAACATTAAGGCGCACACTTCATAAGACGATCTCATCATTGAAGAATTTGACAATGTCATTGAATATCCCAAGTTTTTAGTTTCTCTGTGTAAGGAACACTAGTATTTCAAAACAGAACAAGATTTATGAAATCATGAACTCACTTGATTCCCATCTTGGCAAAGACAAGCTCACACTGGAAAGATTTCCCCTGACCTTTGCCTCCCCAAATACCCAAGATGAGAGGAACCTGTAACAAAATCACATAGTAACATCCAGTTCATGTGGTGCTTTGATGATTTGCTGCCCTTGAGAAATTTGTTCTTCGTTAGCTCTCTTCATTGGAAGAATGTTGCTGGTATTTCTGTTTCAATTTCCTGTTCCTTTTATTATCTTAGACTGGTGTGACTAGTTTTTCTTTGATTTTAGGGGGATGCGAAAATAAAAAATAAATTGCATAGTAACAATCTAGGTCTATTGTGATTTAACAAAACAGTATTTGAAGAATAAGTTTTAAGCATAAATTACCTTGATGTTAGGCAAGGTCATGAAATTCTTTGTGATGTGAACAACAAGCTTGTCCATGAAGGCTGGAGCAATATAGAAACCATCCATATTGTTGTCCAAGTTGTACCTAAAGCATCATTACCAACATATATGATGATAAAAGCAAGTTCTTTGTAATCCATATACATTGTTATAAGAAGCAAAAATTATCTTGTTTTTCTTCCTTACTGGCGAAGTCCGGTGCTAATGTATTCGTAAGAGCTCAAAACAGCATTGTGTGTTCCAGTTCCCGTTGGAGCTTGGAAGAGGGGGTCCACCATACCCTTTCCTCTTGTGATGTCCTGTTGGTCATCGGAAGTGTCGAAGGCAAGACCCCTCCATTTGTCCTTGTCGGTCTGCTTCTGCTCCTCAACCTCGGCCACAACCTTGAAACTTCCCGAGGAGACCTTGGGGTTGGTGAATCTAAAGCTGCTCAACTTCTTCAAGCTGCTACCCAAGAATGCAGAGGTTGGGACTGTGGATCCAGCATTTGAGCCATTCAAGCTCAGCTGCAGCAAACAAAACCACCCTCTTACACCAAATAAATGGTATACAGTAGCAACTAAGTCCCAACTAAAGCAAAGAGGACTTCAAACAGCAGCAACATCAACAACAACAAAAGCTTACTCTCAGATATATAGGCATATAGGCATGTTAATTTTTATTTAAAAAGGAGACTATATATATATATATATATATATATATATATATATATATCCATATTTACAACTATCAGGGTGACTCTGTGGGATCTAAACTCTAAGCCCATATTAATTCTGTACTCTCAAAATTTTAGTTGTTAGAGAGGTTGTAATTTAATATTTATAACTTTCAACAAATTAATTCATTAGTTTCTAATTTGTATTCACACAGATAAATGATTTGCCTTGTCATCTACCTAACACTGATGTGAATCTCATGCACTGAACTAGCTTTTTCTTTTTTTCTGCCAAACGCAATCCTCTTTTATCTAAATGAGATCCAAAAATGAAAAGTGGCATGGAACTACATTAAGACTATCCAACAACTTTAACATACTTGATAGTTGAATGACTCAATAAACTAAGAAATATTATCAATAAATAAGTAAATAAATAAATGAGAAGAGTTTGAGCCTAAAAATGGCGGGAAGAGATACCGGAGCGCGGTTGACAGTAGCTCCAATTGTAGAGACGGCCGAAGCCATTGGATTTTGTGGCCAGACGGCTGTGATCTGGGGAGAGAATCGGAGTGTTTGGTTGGCGGAAGAAAGTGAAGGGTGTAATGGAGTTGATGCTGTGAGGTCAGAAGATAGGAGTGTGGTGGGAGAGGTAGGGCACTTAAATAGTAGTGGGAGTTGGGAGTTGGGAGTGTGGAGAAACAAACTTTGTGGGGACCACCAGCTTTTGAATTTCTTAACGGCCACACAATCAATCAAGATTGGCCCGTTATCTACGTGTCAAACAGTGGTTGTTACTACTGGAAACTTCGTTGGTCTGAGCTCTACTCTTCTCCACTGAAAAATGAGATCATTTTATTACCACACAAAGTTTTTGAATTCGAAATTTCCAAATACATAAAAACAAACAAGAACAAGAAAAACAAAATAATGGGGCGGATGGGTTTGGAAGAGTGAATGTTTCTAGTAACTTCTCGTGAATGCTATACATCACTCTGTGGGTACCACAAGGGAAAGCAACATTATTACGTACAATTCTCTCCCAATTGTGACCCATTGATTATAATTTTCAGATTACCAACAATGAGATTTGAGTTCTGAACTTTGTTAATCCTCTAAACATCTTGAATCTCTTTATTGTAGTCCAAAATTTTGGAGAGAGGCCGTTCATTTTCTTTACCATTATAATGCCCATTTTGAACAGAGTTGAAGTCACTGGGAAACTTTTTTCTTTTAGGTAAATTATGGTTCAGTTTTTATTACTTTGACCTCCTTTAAACTCGTACGCCAAATGCCGAAAGACAACTTTGAATGTAAAAAGTCACTAATGCTCTAATATTCATACATGAAAGGGGTAAAATTGTTATTTTATAAAATTTGGTCGATGAGTATGACAGAAAGAAAACGCTAAGGTATCATTGAACACACGTGCCAAATTTCAAGAGAATTCAAAGTAATAAATGCTAAACGGTATACGTAAAAATAGTTTACCCAAATTTCAAGAAAGATTAATATCATTTACCCTTTTCTGTTTTTACTCTAACGGGCTTCTTTAAAATCACTCTCGCAATTGATAAAGAGGGATATCAATGGGGATAATGATGACCACTTGGTATCCCTTACGAAGTGTTGAGATTTTTATGCTACTATATTTTTGTTTCTGTTTGTGGGAGGATCAATTTAAAGCTGCCCACTTTGACATCCCTCCCGTTCAAGACTAGAAATTCAAAATTTGACAAAAGAAGTAGACATGTTTTTCTTTTATTTTCTTTTTGTCAAATTTAGTTTGTTCAACATCAGGGAGGAGTACATCTAATCGTGCAAATTTTCATTTTATGGTTTTAAAGCTTACATCTGAGTCTGTGCAGTGAAATTTGGAGAATGAAACATGCAGCAATTTTTTTCATCGATCCTTTATTTTCTCCCTTCCATCTAATTTTATTCTTTCATACCGAACAGAGCAGAGCATTAAGTACTTGTGTCCTGACAGCGCCACTGCAAGTTCGCAAGCCTCTCTTCGGCACGACCTAATTTTTGTTTTGGATTAGAACATGTTCAGATAAGTCATTGTTACGAGTCATGCACTGTGTCCAAAATCCGAACCTAACCTAGGAAACTTGCATTCAGAACACTAGCTATAAGTTTCTACTGTCACCTGATTTCTGCAGGCTCTTCATAATATCACCATTCAATTTATTGCATATAACTACAAGTAGCAATGATCCTGTGTAAGGACAGGCTGAGCAGAGACCTAACAGTTTCCTGTTTCATTGCACTTTCGTGCTAAAACATTGACCTAATATAGATATATCAACAGATTTGAGGATCTAAAAAAAGCACATTTAGTTAATAAAGATGTTGATGTTAGTATCAATTCGATTTAATAAAGCATTAGCAGCGAAGAAAAAAAAAAAAAATTTTGAAACATAAAAATTTGAGAAGGGTTACTGAAGACACCAAAAATGGACTGGGCTGGGCGCGATCCAGATTGCTAAGATCGGGTCAGGCTAGAGCAACCACTCCGAACCAAGTCTTCACTAGTCAAGCCCAGGACCGGAAAATCATGCATGAAGTCCGATTTCAGATAAAAGGAATTGAGCCCATAACCAAGAGAAGCCCAGAAGGTCAGCCCAACGCAAGGAGTTAATTAGGAAGCTTCTAGAAGATTTGTAACAGTCTATAAATAGACTGAAAATAGAGGGAAAAGTAGTTGAAATTTTTTTGAAGTGAATAAAGAGTATTTTTCTTGCATCTTCAGTTACTAGATAGAGCCAAAATATTGTAATAGCAATTCGATCCGAGCTCTCTTATAGTTATCACAAAAATTAAAGATATTGTAATATTCATACATTACCCAGTCAAATGTGGACAACCCAATCAGCTCAGCAACCATGAAATAAGGGGAAAGAACATTTTCGATTTCAAAATTTTTCAAGATGGATGAACATTAGAAATGAAACGGCAACTGACATATATAATGAATCACAAACTAACCTTACATGTCAACAAAGGCACTAAATTTATGCTCATGCTTTATACGGCAGACCTCCAACCGAATCCTGATCCAAACAATAGAGTTCCGTAACTGGTGAATAGTATATAATCGAGGCACCAGACTTTATCATCAAATATAAAAAGTTGAACTATAGCTGTACCTTCAAAAAGCCTGTAGAGAAGAACCTGTAGAGAAGAATGTCAAGTAACCTGCTGCAGTTTTATAACTGATCACCATAACACTTAATTCTTATATTGAAATAGAGTACTTATAAAAAAATAAAAATAAAAATCTAAATTGTTTATATATATGGCCACAATTGCATTTGTTAACTTTACGCGATGACAAGAGAGCCAACAACTTAATTATTCAGTATACTAACATTCTTAAACATTCACCAAGATTCAAGACGATGATTTTATCTATAAGAGAGCCAACTAAGGCAAACCTCCAGACGGGATAGTTTCAGTCTTCATAAACCTCCAACAACAACTTCATTATTCAGTAAATAAAAGAACATTCACCAAAATTAAGGATGGTGACTTCTGTCACAATCTTCGTATGCTATAAATCGTGAATAGTTAAAATATATTATATTAAGATAGTAGCAAACTGAACTTCGAGCATTAATAAAGGAACAAATGCATTTATTACACCATCTAAGCACAACCAGACAAACGGCCAAGTATGCCAAACATGTAAAATTTACAGAAACTACACGTAACAGTGTCAATGGAGAAAAACTCATAGGCAATTGGCCACCAAATCCTTAACAAATTTAAAGACAAATTTGGATACTACGAAAGGGATCTTTCCATGTCTTGAAATCTTATAAAACAAGAAGTATCAGAAGAGAGTAAGTGTTAATTGCTGTGGAGATCACATGACACTTTTACTTCTCTGAGTTAAACAAAACATTCAAGCCCGACCCGCTTCATTAGGTCAATGTATTAGCATGAAAGTACAATGAAACAGGAAACAGTTAGGTGAGTTAGGTCTCTGCTCATCATCTTATATAAGTCATTGCTACCTGTAGTTATAAGCAAGAAATTGAACGGGATTTAATGGAGAGCCTGTAGAAATCAAGTGACAATTGAAACTTATAGCTAGTGTTCTAAATGCAAGTTTCCTAGATTAGGATTTGGATATTTGGACTGGTGCATGACTTGTAACAACATATTCAGCCATAGACTAATAATCTGTATCAGCCTATTCACATGAACATGCAAGATTATCTCAATCAACAAACTTTTTCACTTTTCTATAGTAAATACAACACCAAACCTTAATTAAGATCAATTATGACTAGCAAGTGCAGAAATATCACCGATAATACATATATTTTATATTTTTTAATATAAAATAATGTAGGCGAATTATGTTGCAAAAACAATACTCAGTGAGGTAATTTCAATGTACAGTAAATTCTCAGTTCGTCATTATCATTCTACATATAAATTATCATTTTTCAATCGACTGTGTAAAAAAACAGTACTACACTTCAGCAAGGTAATGAACTATCAACAATTCATATATGCTTCCTCTGGCAGAATTTTACTCAATTGTGGATTGGATTGGATGGTAACATTGATATCCTCATAACAAACGCCTTCATACAAACTATCAAAGAACATGGCCTTAAATACGCTATTTCTGTATTAGAAATATTAAAAGTTGTATACAACGGATTTAGGTATGAAAGGGAAGAACATAAAGGTGGTAAAGGGAGCAACACAGAAGTTTAAAAGAGAGGGGGACAAAAACATCTGGGCTTCCCATTCAAGTTCTGTCTGTATTCTCTGCAAATAAATTAAGAAACAAATCCATGGCCTGACCTCCAAAACCTTTATGAGCCATTGATGTCACCATAAAGATAGAATCGCACAACTGAATCGATATCTTGACCTCCAAAAGCTTTAAAGCCTCCTAAGTGACAAAATAAAATAATACCTCTCCAGTTACTGGACTTCTGTATATTCAATAAGAAAGAAAAAAAAAAAAAAAATTTACGCAATCAGTATATTCAATAAGAAATTTTTTTGACACTCAGTACTCTAACAAGAATTTGTGGTGCTTACCAAAAAAAAAAAAAAAAGGCAAGAATTTGAGGCAGTTAAAACTAACATTGCTCAAGAGCACCACTCTCTAGCATTTTGAAACATCTGCAACCATGGGCTAGGGCCTTTCCTATCCACACTCCAATGCTTCGGATACCAGGGGAACTGCCACATCAAGAAGCAGCGTTCTGGATGAGGCATCATGGCAAGATGCCTCCCATCTGGAGAACAAATGGCTGCCACACCCAAGGGAGAACCATTCAGATTGAACGGGTATACTTCAGTTGGTTTCCCATTATCATCACAATATCTTACTGGGGCCAAATTTGACTCAAGCATACGATCCAAAATATCATCATCAGGGAAATATGCTCTCCCCTCACCATGGGCAGCCCACACACCCAAGGTACTACCAGCCATTCCTTTGAACATTAGAGCTGGGGAGTCCTTTATTGTCACACTTGTGAAACGACATTCAAAACGTCCTGACTCATTGTGGACAAACCTTGGCTGTGATGGATCCCCACCAACACCAAGGACGCCTCCAACTTGGGGGCCAGGAACCCACCCCAATAGAGCCATAAGCTGGCATCCATTGCAAACCCCAAGACTAAAGGTATCAGACCGTTTGTAAAATTCTTGAAACTGATTTAGAAGAGGCTGATTGAATCGTATAGAAGCTGACCACCCTTTTGCAGAATCAAGCACATCAGCATAGCTAAAACCTCCCACAAACACAATCCCACGGAATTCATGCAGAGATGTGACTCCATTAAGAAGGTCTGACATTGTTACATCCCATGGTTCAAAACCAGCAGCATAAAAAGCAGCAGACATTTCTCTGTCCCCATTGCTTCCTTCCTCTCGAATAACGGCTACTTTTGGTTTTGAAGTAGTGGCCATGTATTTCTCATCCGTAGAGGTCGGAGTGAAAGACAATGCCCATGAAGGTTCTTGCCTATTTTTCAACCCTTCCTTTTCTAAATCCACACAAGAAGCCAATCTTTGAAACTTTTCCAGCTGAAAACTGGTTTCTTCCCACATGTCCCTAAGGTGAGAAGTTTTCTCACTGAAATGAGTCACCCCATCAACTTTTAATTCTATTATTGGTGCAGCAGTTACTTCTCCAATGATCTCAGCAGGTATGCCGACACTGTGAAGCTTTCCCATAACCATAGCCAGGTTATTCTTGCTAACCTCAAGAATAAGACCAAGCTCTTCTGCAAAAAGTGTTTGGAAGAGGTTCTTCCCTAATGAAGCTAAGTCCAAGCAGATGCCACAATTACCAGCGAAAGCCATCTCCAGGGCACAAACAATCAGCCCGCCGTCACTGATATCATGACCAGCAGAGACCAGCCCATCTGAGAGAAGATTCTGAACCCCCTCAAACACTCTTTTAAGGTAAGGAACATCATCAAGATCAGGGCATTCATCTCCAATTTGGTCAAAAACCTGAGCAAGAGAAAATTTAGAACGTAAGAGAGAGGGGGGGAAGGGAATCTACTTGCGTGTATTTATCAGATCCTACAAAATATGAAATTAAATGATTTTTTAGGAAACATGGTGATTGGTGAAGGAAAAAAAATGATGATTATAAAAATAAATAAACCTGAGCAAGAGCAGATCCACCAAGACGCCGCTCTCCTTTCGCCAAATCAATGTGAAGCAAAATACCTTCATCTCCAAGCTTCAAATCTGGGGTCACAGTTTTGGTTATATCAGGACAAGTGACATACACACTGATAACAAGATTTCCTGGAGCCTTGACAACCTCCCCTGATGCATGGGCCGCCATTGAAAGACTATCTTTCCCCCCATCAATAGCAATACCAAGCTCAATCATAGCTTCAGAAAGAGCCATAGCAGCATCATACATGGCTGCTCCCTCCCCATCAAGTTTGGCAGCATACATCCAATTGCCACTGGCTTTAACATCAGAAAGAGAAGTAACTTTCGCCCAAACAAGATTTGTGAGTGCTTCTCCAACAGCTAGTCGTGCCATTGCTTTTGGATTCAAAAGACCCTTGATTGGTTGCTCCCCAATTGCGCATGCACCCCCAGTAAAGTCAGCATAGGTTTGTGCAATAACTGCAACATCAGAAAGAGTAATTTGCAAAGGACCCACAGTTTGTTGCTGTGCCACAAGACCTGTTACACATCTGCAAACAACAAACTATCACTAGAGTGTAAGAAAAGACAACATTGGAGCAAAATAGAAAGTTTTCAAGCAAAATGTCAAGTGAGAAAAGAAAAAAGGAGTAACACCTATCAACTTTAGTCGTCAAAAAGCGTTTCGAACCGACAGAAGGAAGCCCCAAGACCCTCTTCAGAGAATGCATCAATGTGATCCCAGGAGCAATATCCAGTGGCTCTAGCGCATGAGCCATGTGATAAAATTCAAAAGTTTTTTGAGGCATGTCCCCGAGGACTTTCTCAAGCTCGAGATCCACAGCAGGTGGTGGGGGAGGGAGTCCATCTGAACGACACCTTTCAATAGCTATGCTGTCAACTAAAGTAACATGTCCCTTGCCATTAATTGTTCCAAGAACGGCCATAGAGACCCTTTCTCTTTCACAAACTGACTCTAAGAGGCTGCGGCTTTCAGGCTTCACCAATATGGCATCTTGTTCCTGATATTCTGCACCCCATATCTCCAAGACAGACATAGTGTGATCGCCAACTACAACTGCCCTAATATCAATTTCAGCACCCTTGGGGTATATGATTTCCTTTACAACATTACAGTTCCCACCAGCACCCTGATCATGAATGCTGATAATTGGGTTGTTCTCTCCCATTTCAATGCAGGCACGAACCACACGATACAATTTCTGTGCCATCTCTGCATCTCCTCGCTGAACGGCATTAAAATCAAGATCAGCAGCATTCTGACCACTAACCATGCTGGATGCAGCCCCACCTCCCATTCCTATACGATAAGCTGGGCCTCCAATCTTTACAACTAGCATTCCAATGTCAGGCTCTCCTTTTGATATGTGGGTGTGTTCAATCTGCCCAATACCACCACTGAACATGATTGGCTTCAACCATTCCCGCCTTTCTCCACTAGGGAGTCTCATTCCAAAAGTTCTCGTGTAGCCCTGAATCAAGGGTTCCCCAAATTTGTTCCCATAGTCTGATGCACCATTGCTAGCGTCAATGAGGATCTGCAGAGGAGAAGCCAAGTTTGATGGATATGTGAATGACGAATCTTCCCATGGAGCAGAAGACCCTTCTATGTTAAGATTCCCAACACAGTAACCAGCTGTAGCTGCAACAACAAAAGACCCCCTTCCAGTTGCATGGGTATCCCTGATACGACCTCCTGCACCTGTCTCAGCACCAGGATAAGGTGCAACCGCACATGGGAAATTGTGGGTCTCAGCCGTAAATAAGATGTCAAGATCATGAACACTGGTGTCTAACAGACAAGTTGAACCAGGCTGAATTGGCCGCAAAGGCTTCACACGAAATCCCTTGATTGCACTTGAGTTGTCCTTGAAGCCAATGACTGAATTGTTGGGGTTTGCCTGCAAGGTGCTCTTCACTATCTGCATTAGAGTCCTATTCATGGGCTTACCATCTATAACAATTTTCCCCGTAAAAAACCAGTGACGGCTGTGCTCACTATTAGACTGTGCAATATCAAACAGTTCAACAGTTGTTGGGTTCCGCTTTATGTCATCCTTGAAAAGCCTAGTGTAATACTGTATGTCTTGTTCATCAAAGGCCAAGCCCATTTCGTCATTAATTTCCTCCAATGCCTTCCTGCCCCTCTCCATGACTGGTACATACCGAACTTCATCTGGAACTACACTTACTTCAAAGGATGTGAGCTTCTGGTCATACACACACTCGGTCATCCGATCATGAACCATAGCAGCAAATTCATTAATTTGGTCATATGGCAACGAACCACTCCCTGCCTTAATATACAACAAGTACCTCCTAGAACGTTCCAATCGGGTCACCTCTGTCAATCCACATGCCCGGCAGATTGATACAGCATTAGCAGACCATGCTGTGGTAAAAGACAACCGAGGGCCAACTTCAATTACCAGTTCATCCAAACCACCATTGTTCTCCTTGTCAAGGAAACTCTCAGACCCCAAATTATCAGGCTGAAATGTTTCTCCTAGAAGCCACTTAAGCACTGAAAGTTTTTCTTCCGAAAGCCTCGAATCGAGCCCAATATTGAAACACTGTTCAGTTTCTAGACCAACTATCTGACTTGAAATTTTCGTCTGAATCGACTTCAACAGTTCAGCAGCTGCACTATCTTGAATCAACGGAATCCGGTAAAAATGTATAACCTTTTCAGCATAAGCTTCAGACTTACTCGATTCATCGATTGAACTGCTTACATCCCCTGTAACAACAGCCCTGACCTTTCTTGAAAGTGAAGGCCTTGATACAATACCACCTCCATTAGAAATTCTCAGTAATGGGGTTCGATTTTGGAGTGAACCCCATAGCAAACGTTTACTCCAGCTTGGTGAAGTCCTTGGCGGAAATAAATTCTGTCTATTAGACCCCTAAAATTATAGAAACGAAATGCAGTTAAACACCAATTCTAAACTCAATCAGTACTCCACAACTTCTAATTCCGATTAAGATTAAAAATAATTTAACCCCAAAAAAAAGGTTAAAGGGACATACTTGTAAGAACTCCACTGCAGTCATTTCCCAAGCAGAAGCCATACTCGAACTGTAACAAACCATATTCAAACTGTAACCAAAAGAAACAAATAATAATAATAACTCCAAACAAACCGATTTACTGGAAAGCATAAAATTCACTCTGATCAGTAACCCTCCGATTCGGCGAATAAAATTGATGAAATGATAAAAAAAATTAATGAATAATAAAGACTTAAATTCTATAAAGATGTATTCTTTGGTACACAAAAATATGACAATGTCATCTCTTCAGCTAAAACAAATCAATCACTTGAAAACAAAGTTGTTTTAGTATCTTGTGGCGTATCTCTACATACAAGTATGTGCGTGTGTGTATCTAGAGAGATATAGAAGAGGAGAAAGGAATGAGAGATACCTTTGGCCGGAAATGATGGCGGATTTACCTTGCCGGAGAAAGAGACTTACGTCGGCGGAAGCAGTCGTTAGGTTGCAGTCCGGCGGACAAAAACCTAGTGAGATTATATATATATATATATATATTAAGGTGATTCTGTTGACTGACTTTTTGGTTTTTTCATTTTTTAATTTATTTTTCCCTCTACTTTTGACTGACTTTAAAGGCTTTATTCCATTTAGAGGAAGTGGCCCAATGATACACTTCGACACTAGATTTATAATTAAACCACACAATAATAAAATTAATTTTATTGCACAATATGACTTATTAATTTATAATTAAATTAATTTTATTGCCCAATATGACCTATTGAATTAATTTCTATCAAACATTACTAGTTTGTATACACAGTTCTGAATTTAAAACACAGGAAAGAGTAAAAATTCTTACATCTCCTTGTTCTTTATTTGGGGCAATGGAACCACACTTCCCCTCCGGTCTAGATCCTATGCTTCAGTGTGTTACATACGCTCACCGCAATTAAATCACGTTAAGTTATGTAATGTGTTGAAATATGATTTAATTGTGTTGAGCAGCATACGCAATGTGTTGAACCACGATTTAATTGTATTGAGGGCACCTACAACATAATGTCGTGCAATGCAAAAGAGTGACAATGGCCTCTCCTCAATGCAGGCTGCTGGTATTTAATATTTGTGGGCCTTTGATGTGTTTTCCCTCCTTCATTGGTTCTGTTGAGGATATAGTCATATGCCCTTTTGTTTCCTAGGGCTTTTCCTGCCTTGTATAGCCTACCTGTAGCTCATTGGGCTTTGTCCTGGGCCTGCTTGTATATTATTTGCCTTTCCGAGAAAAAAGACCTGGTTTTGACTTTTGATCCATAAATTTACACCAATAAAACTTCATTTAATTTGTGTTTCTTCACTTTGATTAACACATATGTTTCTTTTTAAGCATTATATATGGTCCGTTTAAGTGGTTGTTTAATCTATATTTTGACCGGCAATGTGGCCTAGTTGGTGCAGCCTCTAGCTCCACGAGCGAGTGTGGTGTGTTCGTGTTTGAGTTCTCATTCCCCTAATTTCTTAGATAAAAAAAAAAAAAAATCTATATTTTTACATTAAACAAATAAAACCCCCAAGAACCTGAAAAGAAATCAATCAAGAGGTTTTAGATTCCAAAGATGAATCAAGAATCATGCTACGTTTCAATTTCATTTTACCAGTGGGCATTATTAAAGCAAAACAAAGCCGAAAGTGAAAACTTAAAGAGAAATTACAAAGAGGGAGAGAGAAAATTAGGAATCTGCAAATGCCTGTAGTAGATGAATAGAAAAAATAAAATAACTTTTATTATTTGATGAATAGTAAAAGTATTTTACATTTACATAAATAGTATTCAAATTTACTTTTCAGTGTTGATGAATAGTATTTGTCTTTGTGAAAATGACCTTTTTGTCATGTGTTGAGTAAATCTGCAGTCACTTGGAAAAAGTCTTCCACTACCTTGTCAATCTTCCATTGCATTGATGAGATTATGAAATTCTTACTCATCCAAGTCAATTTTCCATTGCATTGATGAGATTATGGAGTTCATAGTCATCCAAGGAAGAAGTGCTTGTTGGACTTTGATTAAATTAATTTAACCAATCAATATCGGTTTGCTCAACTCCCATCCGAATATCTTCTGGAATATCTATTTTTAGTTCTTTGAGGTTGTCAAGGAACTTTTGTGCTTCAACTAACTGTTCTGCTAAATAGTTGGGGTAATCAACTGACAGTTGTGTGACGAAAAGTCTTCTTCCACCACAAACCATCAATTTCATTTTTACTTCAGATGGTACAATATCTACTTCCGGTCCTTCCAGAAGGAGAGGTTGAGTGTCCTAATCCAAGTCACATAAAACGAGAACGAGTGCAAGAGTTGAAGCACAAAAGCGACAAAATATAAGTCACGCAAAATATTACATTCAGAACCGTGGGTGCGTGAATTTTAACCATTTTCCAGCACCTGATCAACTCTAGTCAAGGAAGATAACCCATTTTGATTTCAAAAAACAACCATACAACAAAACAAAGTCTAAATTCTGATCATTTTACATCTTGATAAAATAATATCACATCAAAAACCATTTCAATGCATTCTTAGAGTAGAAAAGAGGGAGGTTAAATTGAACCCTGTGATGCACACAACTAGACATAGACGGTGGATGGTTAAATTGACCAAAAACTAGAACTAAAAAAGAATTCCACACATGCACTACTTTCACCTAAACAACCACACTTCACAACCATAGTAGTTTTCAAGGTTTTCAAAAATTCAATACCGAAACTGGACGTGAACCATATTAACACATTGAACACAAAATCTAATATCAGCACAAACTGCTCTGTGAGAGGGAGAGAGGGACACACGGGGGAGGGGGAGTTGTGTTTTGATCCTATGCATACAACATAATTTACATGCAAGGTTCCATCGTCATCTCGCAATCCCGGCACAATCTTTTAACCATTACAAAAATCTCAGTAACTCAAATATCTGATACACAATGCTATGCAAGATTATCAGGTGATAAAACTTTGGCGGTGACTAAACTCATTTGGCTTACCTTCTAGTACAGAATCATAAAACCTAGTTAAGCAATCGGGAGTAAGTCGAAAAGAAGATACATCTTGCAGGATCAGTGGAACCTGGAAAAACATGCACCTAACATATGGCTATGGGGAATTTCAGAGAATAATGAATCCCAAACATTTCTAAAGCAATATAAAGCAACGATGGATTTTACTACAGATTTTACAAGAAGCCAAAGTGTAACTATAATTAAGGCAGCTTGAACAAATGATATAATGAACTCAAAACCATACTCCAATTCGTAGAGAAACAATCACGATTTTAAGCTTCATGGATTGCACTAAAATTCATGCAAATAGATTGATCCACTGCACAATAAATTGAAACATATGTGTCCTCTCTGATACATAATTTCCTGTTTACATGGTAAACCAACAAATTCAAAATATAAAAATTGTTGATTTACGGTCACATTTCTGTTCGCAGTTACTGACACTAAAAGATAATATCACTGAGACATAAGAACAAAGCAGAAGAATGGAATTACTAGGTTGGAAAGTAAGAGAGAACATGCAGAGATGAATTAACCTGAGAAAGAAAATTTGCCATGCCAGTGATGACCAACTCTTGCTAGAAAATCCGCAACTTATTCCATAAAACAGAATAACGAATCTAAATCGACGTCTCTATTATAGTAGTGTATCAACATATAGTCATTCACTCCCTGTACTTCTCAAGTACTAAACTAGATATGATTAATAACAAAGTACTACATATACACAGACCAAATGTAACAATATTTAAGCATGCTAAAGGGAAGCAACGTCCACAACTTAGAGAAGCTTCGAGGTATATTACTCTAGATGCATAGCACAAGTACCACTTGTCTGGAACTAGGGGTATGAAAAAAACATGTTCAAATGAATATTTGATGAATTGGTTACTATGCATAGAAAATATTTGTCATGTCACCTGATATGGATAATGAACAAATGATGTCACATAACATGAAATGAAATACAATAGGAAAGCTTGCACATATAAAATTGAAAATTTATGTTCATATAGGTCATTCCTTTTTCATCGACCAAGGGTTCAGTTAATTTCCATCTAAACAACAGCTTTACATGCCCATAGACATCCTCTATTCCATCATTTGAAATGTGAACAATACGACAACATGCAATTCACATATAGCAACCATTTCAGGCACTTTCACATCTCCATGTAAGCATATACCTTAACAAATCCAATTGCGGTCTGACAATACAAAAGTTTTTTCTCTAAGAGTTTAAGAGAGTCAATATTCATTCATACTTCTTCTCACAAAGCAAGAACTAGTTTCCGTCGATGAACCCACACAAATGACTTCATCTAACTTGTGCTTCTTCACATGCTTATGCAATCAATTTTTAACCAAGCATAGCTCTAATTAATCACTCAGCGCAATTTTGGATAAACTAAAATAATGAAAACAATTTAGCAACAACAATATGTGTTTCAACGAGGTTGTAGAGAATTACAACACTTTCAGAATTACTAGTAGCTTTTTTGAGAATTACTAGCTAGTTGTCACTAATCGCATATGTCATAGAAATACTACCAGCTTGTTAAGAGACCGAAAATTACTAGGTGTCATTGATCATATAAATATATCATAGCTTAGAAAATACAATCAGCCTGTTAAGATCTGAGAATTACTAGGTGTTTTTTATCACATCTATATCATAGCATAGAAAATACAATCTTATGCATTCATTATTCATACGGGGAAAGACTCACATGGTTACAAATAAGATACCATAGCATAACAGCAAGTACCATATAGATGACAATATGGTCAACCCTCTTAGAATCCCTAGAGAACAAATCACATTAAGTTGATTTCCAATCCAACAAATATATGTATCAAAGAATTAAGATATATTACCCAAATTGTGGGAGTGATCTGATTTTTTCAAGCTCATACGGCAAGAAAAACTAAAAACAAAATGAACAGTTGGAACTTGGAACTCTATATAAGTCAAACTCCCTGAAAAGAAAATAATAATATCTTTAAGAAGGTAATAATAATTAGACACCCAATAATTTGGGAGTAAATGGTTTACTCCACTCACTCTTTAGCCATTAATGCCATAGAGTACTTTATCTACAATAAACAGTTCCTATGACAAGTGTCAATTAACTTAACTGGCTTAGAATGACCCCCTCAGTTTCAACTTAAGCCCAGCATAAGATTCTAAAATCAAGATGCAGAGAGAGGACCCATGTTAGTAACTTCTCTTGCAAAATTATGAACAAGAATGAATGAAAACATGCAGTGCAAAACTCCAACTTTTTCAACTAATTTTAAGTACTCAGAAAAGGGCCGATTCACAGGAAATGCAGATGGATCAAACCCTCCTCTCTCTCTCTCTTCTCTCTCTCTCTCTCTCTCTCTCTCTCTCTCAAATTATATATGGCTCGAGGAACATTCCATTTCCCTAGAAGCATAGCACAAGTAATACTTTTGCGAAACTAGGGGTATAAAAAAAACATGTTAAAATGAATAAATGAACTTGAAAAGAGTTTGAACATTCCATTTCCCTAGAAGCATAGCACAAGTACCACTTTTTTGAAACTATGGGTATAAAATAATAATAAAAATAAATAAATAAATAAAAACATGTTCAAATGAATATTTGATGAATTGGTTATTTTAGGCATTAAAAAAATGTCACATAACCTGATACAAATAATGAACAAATTATGTCACATAACATAAAATGAAATACAACAGTAAAACTAACAGATATTAAACTGAAAATTATGTTCATATAGGCCATTCCTTTTTCATAAACCAAGAGCTAACTAATGGCACACATGCCTTCCATCTAAACAATAGCTTAATCCTGCCATATTTTTCTCCAATATGTCTCCATATGCAACACATCCTCCATTCCATCATTTGAAATGTGAACAAATAGGATAATATGCAATTCACATATAGCAACCATTTCATGCATTTTCATATCTCCGCATAAGCATATACCTTAACAAATTCAATTGAGGTGTAACCATACAAAATGTTTTTCTCTAAGAGTTTAAGAGAGTCCATATTCATTCTTACATCTTCTCATTAAGTAAGAACTAGTTTTCATCCATGAATCCACACCAATTTCGTCTAACTTGTGCTTCTTCACATGCTTATGTAATCAATTTATAAACCAAAATATTGAAAACAATTTAGTAATAACAATATCATATTTCAATGAGGTTGTAGAGAATTACAACTCTTTCAGAATTACTAGCAGCTTTTTTGAGAATTACTAGACAGTTATCATTAATCATATATATCATAGAATAAATCAGCTTGTTAAGAGACCGAGAAATACGTATATATCATAGCATAAAAAATACAATCAGCCTGTTACGAGACTGAGAATTACTAGGTGCCTTTGATCACATACATATCATAGCTTAGAATATACAATCTTCGGCACTCATTCTTCATACGGGGAAAGAGTCACATGAAATAAGATACTATAGCATAACAGCAAGTACCATATATGGCCCACTCTTTAGAATCTCTTGAGAACAAATCACATTTAGTTGATTTCCATTTAAGTTGATTTCCAATCCAACTAATGTATGTATCAAATAAGATTTCATCGAATTGTGGGATGCAATCTGATGTTCTCGAGCTCATATGGCAAAAAAAAATTAAAAACAAAATGTATAATTGGAACTCTATATATGTCAAACTCCATGAAAAGAAAGAACTAATATCGTTGAGAAGATAATAATAATAATTAGACACCCACTAATTTGGGACTAAACGGTCTACTCCATTCACTCTTTGGCCTTTAATGAGGTAGAAAATTTTATCTAAAATGAACAGTCACCTATGACAAGTGTCAACTCATTTAACTGGCTTAAAATGGTCCCCTTAGTTCTAACTTAAGCCAAGCAAAAGATTCTAAATCAAGTTGCAGAGAGAGGACCCATGTTAGTTAATGCTCTTGCGAAATTATGAACAAAAATGATGTGAAAGCAAACAGTGTAAAGCTAAAACTTTTTCAACTAATTTGAAGCACTCAGGAAACGACTGATTCACAGGAAATGCAGATGGATCAAACCCTCCCCTCACTCTCAGTCGCTCTCTCAAATTATAGATGGCTTGAGAACCATATAATATACCATCAGATGCACACCAAATTCAAAGTCTTCTATCATTGGCATACCAAAGAACGCTTCTTCTCAAGAGCGCCCTCTCATATCTCGCGACAAGAGCCATGAGCTCTCTCTATTACCCATTGGTGATATATTTCTCAATCCAATGGTTAATAAGGACTCATAACTATTGTCATAAAAGGCTTATTGATAGCCTTACTCAAATAAAAAGAATAATATTTCTTATCTTAATCATATGAATTAATATATTTAATTAGTGATTACCATAGAATAACATTTCTTATCTTAATCATATGAATACATAGATATGGTTTCAAATCCATTTCATGACTAAGCTCTTCCTGCCTACACCACTGCATTTAAAAGAAGTGCACAACTAGTTCAAAGAGAGAGAGAGAGAGAATATTGAAGGAAAGTCACTACTACATAAGCAAAATTATCAAAGCAGAACATGTGATATACAAGGGAGTACTGAAAAGGTCAAGAAGTTATACCTTTCTTGCTAAGCTTACATGATCTGAGAGATACAGCTTTAAACTAACGAACTAATTAAGGACTCTCTCTCCCTCTCTTCCCATTTCTTCCGGTCCTAATAGGAGGGAGGCGGACGATTAGGAGCTGAAAACACATCATGTGTCATCTGACTATTCGGTAGCAGATATGAAGGTACATTGTACATAGGCATAGTGGATGATGGGTCAACCAAACGATGAGCCTGTGACCTTGAATCACCACTAGTCCCTGGATTCACCCCTGAGATTGGTTCCAATTGCATTCCCTCCCCGGCCGCCTCAGCCTCGGCCTCGTCCTCCATCGGCAGTCGGTCATATGTTGCATTTGAAAATGTCGCAGCAATCACCATTACTGGCCCTGACGCCACCAATGCACCCGCCACTATTCCACCCACCACCTGCCCCTGCACACCGGCCAAGTACACTGTCAGCCCCGTGGCTCCGGGAGGCGATGGTGCTGGCAAGAATGCACCTGATAGAGACAATATATCAAATCTTCCTTGGAGTGTCATTACACCACCCGGTGCAGCCAGTTGGCGGAGTGTGACATTGGCAACAATGCCGCTGCCGCTAAGGACAGAGACGCCACGGTGACGGCGCTGTGCAAAGGCAGCAATACTCTCCACAATATCGCTGCCACTGCTAATTTCGAATACATGGCTAAGGAGAGCATTGGGACTATCCTTGGTGATGATAATTGGGGGCTTTGGCTTGTTCTTTGAGCCAGGAGGTCGGCCTCTAGGCCGGCGGCCAGAACCACTGCCCGGTTCAGAGATGTCAAGGGCTCCGGCATTTGGGTCCTCGGTTTCAGGGTCGTCTTCTTGGCCTTCTCGACTTTCTTCGTTTTTGGGGTTTTGGATGGTTGTGTTGATGTTGGGATTAGTATTGCTTCCACTACTGATTGTGGTTGTTGTGGTAGTGGTGTTGTCAATGAAATGTTGCTCTCTGCTCAGTCCGAGCCGGTTCAATCCGCCGTTATCATCATCTATACTGTTTCTCAGGTGAAGAGATGGCGGCGATGATGGCATCGGGTTCATCTCCACATTTGCAGCCCACCACCGGTTAGCCATATCTTGTTTTTTTCAACAAAACACTCACTACTACTACTTAGAATCAAGACAACAACAAAGATGGAGATTCCTAAGAACCAATATAAACCCTCATTTCCAGCCTCACAGTCCTTGTTTCTCTCTCTAAAAATGTAGACAAACACCCAGCTCTCTTTACAACATTGGCTTAAAGCAACTGAAAGATTAGACCACTCAAAATATCGACAGCCTCTTCTTTGTTTTTTGCTTTGTTTGTTCGCTACTAAGTAGATTGAAATCTAACATTGAACGCTTCCAAATCCAACAGATATAATCCAAAACCTTATCTGTTTTTAGTCACCCAAAAAAATATTCCAACATATTTAGCTAACCATGTTGCTTAAATCACACAAAATCCATATGGGGTTTCTTGGTTTGCATGAAACCCTAGTCACTAACCTCAAATCAGAAAGAGAAAACAGATCCAATAAAGGCTAACCAAGACAAACGAAACCAAACCCAGTTCCGAAAATTGAAGAACATGTAGAGATCTAACATCAAACCACCTTCAAATCGCATCTACCAAACAAGAATAAGCTCACACTTCAGTCACAATATATACACACAGACCAATTACGTGTGTGTATATATATATATATAATATTACTAGTATATTATTACTTTAGTCTGTGTACTGAGCAGAAAGATATGGAAGTAAGAAAGCTTTGTACCTCTAGAGATTTCATGGTGGTACTGGTTGCTGGGGTTGATTTTTGGTTCTGCTTTTTCAGTTTTCACTAAACTGTGTGTGTGTGTCCTGGCCGGTAGTGGGTGTACTTTAAAAGATGAAGCGCAACCCTGGCGTACAATAAGGATCTCTAATGTAGCAGTGCGATCATTTATATCTGTATATTTTTATTTACTGCCAGTTTTGGGTTCCTGGTTTTAGACCGTTGCGCCCCTAGTAAACGGTTTTGTGCTGTGTATGTACCACACACACTTGTACATATTGAGTGTTTCTGAAAAAATATTTAGGATGACCTTGGACAAATTACTCCTTAGGGCAAATTACTTTGATAGTCTTCCAAGATTTTATTATTTTGATTTTTTCTCTTCTAAGATTTTATTATTTTACCTAATTTGGCACGTATGGTTAATGACACCTTAGCATTTTATTTTTAAATATTGACTGACTTATAAAAAAATAATTTTGTCTTCTGAAAACTTTGTCTTTCTCTCATATGAAATCAATGCATGATTGACTTTTCACACTCAAAATTATATATTAGTTAGGAATGTTAAAATAATAAACATTCAACGATCAACATGTGCTTAATTTGTTTAAAATATTTATTCAAAATATTTAACATCGATCCCAAGTTAGCGGTTATGGAGTAAGGATAAATATCCCAAATTAGAGGTTACGGCCTTTATGCAATACTCCCGGCCAATAAAAATGCAACCTCCCTTAAAGGTTAAAAATAAAAAAATAAAAATAAATAAATAAATAGCATATTTGTATTGGGCGAGAGTATTATTTTGTTAAATACTTACTCGTAATTGTGAACTAATAAGTGAATTGAGACCCCTTGTAATTGTGAATTGAGACTCCTTTTGAAATCTAATAAAAATGTCACTTGAATTGAACAATGAAATATCTTTTAAGAAAAATAATAAAAATGTCAATTGTTTTTGAATCTCACTAATGTGTTAAAAATTAATTAAAATAATTTAAGAGAAGTGAGAGTAAATTTTATTAATCATTGTACAAGAGTCTTTATATGAACATTGTTATAGAATATTATAGCATTGCTCATAAATTCAAATTAAATAAAAATGCACACACCCACAAATATTGCTATGGTAAAATTTCTAACACAATTTTTTTTTTCCTTTTTTCTTTTAGAGTGGATAAACCACACCATCTTAATTAATTATTACTTTGATAGTCTTCTAAGATTTTATTACTTTGGTCTTCCCTCGTCTAAGATTTTATTATTTTGATATTTTACTTGATTTGGCACGTGTGCTCAAAATGACACTTTAACATTTTGCTTTTGAGTATTGACAGACTTATAAAATAATAATTTTGTCTTTTGAAAATCTTGTCTTTCTCTATGAGAATCGAGGCATGATTGACTTTTCACACTCAAAATTACATTTTAGTAGTATGAACAAATTTAGAGAGATTAAAGTAATAAACGTTAAACAGTCTGATATGTGTTTAATTTGTTTAAAATATTTATTCCCATGTCAGCGGTTTTGGAGTAGGGATAAATATTCCATATTAGAGATTATGCAACACTCCCAACCGATAACAATGCAACCTTCCCTTAACGGTATTATATATATATATATATATATATATATATATATATATATATATATGGCACATTTGTATTGGGCAAGAGTATTATTGTATTAAATACTTACTTGTAATTGTGAACCAACGGGGGAATTGAGACCCCTTTTGAAATCTAATATCACTTGAATTGAACAATAGAATATCTTTTAAAAAAAATGATAAAAATGTCAATTGTTTTTAAATCATACTAATGTGTTAAATATTAATTAAAAAAACTTTAAGGGAAGCCAGAGTAAATTTTATTAATCATTGTACTAAGAGTCTTTATATGAACATTGTTATAGAATATTATAGCATTGCTCGTAAATTCAAATTAAATACAAATGCACACACCCACAAATATTGCTATAGTAAAATTTCTACCACAATTTTTATTTATTTATTATTATTTTTTTTTGGAGCGGATAAATCACACCATCTTAATTAATGGGGTGACGGTGAGGTTGATGGTAATGAATAGAAGTATTCCAATAAGTTTTTAACACGATGTGACCGAAAGGGAAGAAGAATATTGTTTTGATTACGTGTTAAGATTTCATTGGAAAGAATAATATAGTTTTGGAGTGTGAGAGTGTATATGAAAATTGGAGGGGAGGGGTTGGGGAGAGAGAGAGAAAAAGGAAAGGAGGGGAGGGGTTGTGGCAGGATCTGTAATAAGGTACGCACGAGACTGTCTGTGAGTCCCGACAAAGTATCGAATGCCAATGTCTGCACGGCAGCCACATCACCCATTCGACGCGAAAACATAGAAAACTTGTCTCCCTGCTCTCTCTCTCTCTCTCTCTCTCTCTCTCTCTCTCTCTCTCTAGATTACTATTATTACTTTGTTATTAAAGTATTAAGAGATAAATAAGTACTTACTAGTGCGTTAACTCAATTTTATATTGAAGTCTGTGAACTCATATTTAGGTATCTCTCTTGTAATTCCAGACTCCCATCTTCTCCAAATAAATGTCCACATTTTTTATTTTGAGAATTTATAAATACCATGAAAAATCATTTTCATTATATTGTAACATGAATAATATGGTAAGTGTAATTTAAAAGTAGATTAGTAATACTTGACTTTCTAAACGAGACATTACATTACAATCAAGATAAATGTTTTGATTAGAAAGTCAAAGAATTATTTTTTGTAACAATATCAATTTAACTTTTTTGCATTGAATTTATACTCCATTTGTCCCTTATTAGTTGTCTATTTTTCCTGTTTAGAGTGTCCTAAATTAAATATTTTGAAAAGTCAAACAAAATAAATGTCATCTTTCCATAATTATCTTTCTAACTTTTCAAAATATTACAACTTCGCTTTATATATATTTAAAGTTTAGACGACAACGTAGTAATTTGAAAAGGGGACAATGCATTAATTGCAGGTCCCCTTAAAAAGTTATAAAACCAAAGATGGACAACTAATAAGGAACGGAGGGAGTAAATAAAATATATATTTGGTAATTCATTCATTATCAATATAACAAAAATATGGTAAATTATACAAACTTCTCCTATGGTTTACCGAACTTTTTTATGGTTTGAAATTACTCGACCTTTCCTAAAAATGAAACTATCCAACACGTAAAAATGAAACTATCCAACAAGTACCTTCCTTATGTGACAGTCAATACTAGTCAATCACGAATTTTGTTGATATCATGTACTTAATAAATTAAAATTCTAGTAATACTCTTCGATCTTTATCTTCTCTTTTTACTTTTGTTTCTCACAATCGAGCATTGGTAGAATTGAACCCCTTTTTTTAAGGTAAATTCCTCCAATCATAGGTAGTATCAGCTCCCCCAAATGAAATCCAACCCAATTATACATATACAGAGATATAATTTTTACAGAGAAAGAGATGTTCTTCGTGATTTAACCCATATATATATATATATATATATTCCTCCAATGATAGGTAGTATCGACACCCTAAATGAAATCCAACACAATTATATATATACATATAAAGAGAGAATTTTACAAAGAAATTGTGACGTTCTGAATTTTTCTGCATTTTTTGAATTTTCAGTATTTATTTATCTTTCTGCTTCGTATTGCATGTCGAGCACCGTTTAGTGTGTCATGTGAGTCCCGGGAGTTGATTAGAGCATTTATTTGAGTTTAGGACTCTTAGAAATGCATTTTCATTTTATCACTTTTCAAAATTTTGGCCCAGGTGGTCCCATATGGACTCCATGCCCGAATTTTTCGTGCTTGGGTGACCCCTCTGAGTTTATTTGCATTTATATTTATTTATTTAATTAATATGTGTGTGTGTGCGGGCGCGCGCGTGTGTGCGTGTGTATTTTAATGCATAGTTGTGGTGTATTGAGGATTATATTGCATGAGGGGGTAATTTAGCCATTTTGGGGTCAAGTGGAGTCATTTTTCTGCATTCCTTTCTTCTCCAAACCGTGGGTTTCCTCTCTTTCTAAAATATCACTCTCTCTCTAAAACTACAATTTTAAGCCTCAATTTTTCCTCATTTCTCTTGGATTTTGATCCTTTCTCTTGGATTTTGATGTTGCAGTAGAAGACAAAGTCAGAGAGCTCGTCAAGGACTTCGATTTGATCGAAGCAAAGTTCCATTTGGGTGACCTTCGAATTTTTAAAATTTGGGGCTTTTGGGCTTCCTTGAGGTATAGTTATCTAATTGCTAATTTCCTTAAGTTTTGTAGCTAATTGCATGTTTTTCCCCTCCTTTAGTGTGTCAATTTGATGTTGATTGGTAAATTTTATGCCTAGGGTTTTATTCATGTTGAGCTACTTGCTAATTTGTTGAGCCATGGGTTATTACATGTATAAATTGCGCATAATTGTGAATGATTTGATGTTAAATGTACAAATGAACCCTAGGATTATTGTATGCTAGAATATTGTGATAGCATGTTATTTGACGATGATCTTGATTAAACAATGTTGTGTTCATTTAAATGTTGTTGTTACTAGCATGACTTGCCTTAAAGATTAGGAAATTGTGATATGAGGTAGAACGGTTTACTATAGTGCATTTCATCCACATGGCATAAATGACATTTTTCAAAAATCATGGGAAGTGGTGCGTAGAGACATGTGTTAGAATTGTGGAAGGGTGAAATGTGAATTTTGAGAAGTTTTTGAAAAAAAGGTTTTTCTCAAACCCGACCTTGGAGAGGTACCTCTTTGTTGGGGGTGCTAGTTGGTTAATCAAGACATAGGAGTTACCCGTGAGTAGTTTTAGTGACTCGGTCCCCAAATGATGGTTGGAAGGTACCTTCCGTTAGGGACGATATCAAAATTCTCCTTAGGGACAGAGGGAGATACCCGAGATCCGGCTAGCTAGCACGTTTTTGGTGTAGGTGTGTGGGTATACAGGGTGCATATGTGGATGGCGGTTGCATAATGCATTTCATGCATTGCATTGCTCAGAATGATGGTTATGACTACTTGGTAATCTATTTGGTGTGGTATGATCCCATGTTCATTTTTCTACTCTTTGCGTGTAAAACATG